TGATGGAGAGCGGTTACTCCCGTCGCGGTCTGCCCATGCACTAGGATGAGACGGATCCAAGGGGGCGTGGGGAGGCGCCACGTGGCTGTGTGATCGGAACATGACCCGCGGGGGATTTTGCGGCTGCTGGCCGCGGGAAGTGGGGTGTACCGGACCGAACTGCGGCGATACGATGAAGTGATGTATCTTTCTATATAGAAAGATTCCAGGGAATTAAAAGGTTCTTTCACAGAAGGGTGGTATAGTGTGAAGTGTCGGACGCCTTGGGCGGATATGAGTATGGAGGGCGCGAATAGTGCAGATAAGGGGCGATACATTGTTGACTTCAGCATGGAAGCTGCGACAATGACGGCGTGTGGTTTCTCTGTGCCTCGCGCGGCGGTCTAGGCGTCCGGACTGGCTGCCAGGCCCCTGGCCGTGCGGGCCACGTGCGCCATGGCCTGGGCGCAATAGCGCTCAACCTTTTCGAAGGTCACGGACGCTCTGGGCCGTTCCTGAGCTGCTTTCCTTGCCGTTCAGGACCAGCACTACCAGCGCGGTCGCGCTGCTGACCAAAATCGGCCAATCATCGTCGGTCCACAGCCGTGGCAAAGCGGAAGGAAGCCCGGCTGCGTCAGGCGCTGTCGCATTGTAGATGAGGCTGAACTAGGCCGTGGACCTAACCGACGTTTGTTTCTTTGTTTTATCGACCTTTGAGGAGCTGCTGCGATTGATTGCAGAGCTCTGGACGGCAGTTTCAAACCTTTCTACAAGGACATTTGCGTGCGTTGGCGGGCCGTTGGTCCTCCGCTGCCCGTTTGAGGCATCCTTCTGCTGCCCGTTTGAGGCATCCTTCTGCTGCCCGTGCCATTTTTGGTGACGATCATCATGGTGACGAGCGGCGTTTCGTGAGGATCCAGTCTGCGCAAAGGGGGACTTCTTGATCATCCTATGCGTTCTCAAAAGAACATGGAGATGAGGTTATCGACGTGGATCAGCTGCGCATGAATGTGGGAGAGGGCTATGCGTGGTTGCCATGGTGAACATCGGGACGTGGAATGGCCGTTGCGCCATCAACAGAGGTTGGATGTTGCGGCCATGGATATGTGGCCATCCACGGCTGTTGTGTACTTTCCTTATCTCGTTTCATCTTCCACTGCGGCGCACATCCAGAGATTCTACTGGCCGCCAGGGCCGGTGGAATTAAACAAATCTCAAATGATCGCCATCATCAAATAATCGCCACCATCCTGGGATTGTCGCAAATTTTTAACTGCAATGTGAGACCTTTGATTGACACAAGGGATCGATTTGATCGATTTGAATGATGAACAACTGCCACCAGGGGTGTTGGATTGCTTTCCAGGTCCTCTTGGGAGAAGCCAAAGTAGGGCAGGGTAAAAACTTAGGACGACTGCATCCCCAAATTCCCAACCCCAATCCTGTGTCCTCCATCCGCGGATGCATCGACGGGCATCCGGACCCAATATGCATGCAGGTGGTCGCCAGTTGCTATGTAGCGCAGCCTGAACTTTGATCCTGCGACTCCCCGCATGAGTTTTGAATTGCAACGTCGCATCGAGCATTTTGACGGCAAACAGCTTTCCCGTTGGGCATCGTGCAGAGGCAGCGAAAGTGGTAACCGATGGCGCAAGCTGCTGGAGCACTCTCAGGTTGCGGCCACGGCAGTCCACACGGCGCGAACCGCCTTTGCACGGAGAGTTTTGGCTCCGCTCTTGTGCTGCGGGGGCCAGCAAAAAATGTGTGTTCCCTACTCTCACTCGTAGGGAACCGAGCTATCCTGGCGGGACAAGTGCGGTTGGTCGCTGACTGTCAAGGACCCATCATTCAACCACGCCAGCCATCAAAATGTCGGACTCACTGCATACAGGCGGCACTGACTGGGCCCTATGCTCAGTCTTTCCACTCCCCCAGGAAGCGCAGCGCAACGCTGCGCTGTGCCCAGCGTTGTTGTAGGCTCCGCTGCTTGCCACGCTGGTGTGCCCATGCCGGGCAGCGCGCGCAACACATGGAGATCAATTGCTCATCGTCGATGCCATCGGTGGAGGGTCCGCTGGTAATGGGGCATTTCGAAAATTCAGCTCGTGGCCAACCGCAGGGAGCCCGATAGAGGTCAGGTCTTGGAGGGTAGGGTGCAGCGGCGAGTTGTCAAGACTCCCTGTACGGATCGCCGCCTTCGTGGCAATGTGCACAATTGCCAGGACACAACATTCCCAATTCCTTCAGCATACGCAGATCCCAGCGCCCGGGTCTTGCCCACGTGGCAAGCAAACACGCCAAAAGCCTTGCCTGAATGTTTAGTTTTCACCACCGTCTCTCAGGTCCAATAGATGTCTTGTGCTCAAACGCAGTCAGTGGACCACAATGTCCAATCTGCCAAGGAACAAGCCAGCCAGATGCGTACTTTTGCTGGAGGTACTCCACAAATTGCATGGCGCATGCAAAGCGCACAGCCACATTTCGTTAATCAGAAAATCGCGATTTTTTGCAATCACATGACCCCGCAGCTGATTTGGCAGGCTGAGCACACCAGCCTGGTCATGCAGCCAACGAGACAATGAACAAGTGGTGTTGAAAGACACAGCTCTGCACATCATACCAGCGTCGCCACACCGCTGACTGGTGGTCCATCGTTGCTGCTGCGTCGCCATGAAACGAAATGCATGAAACAGTCATGCTAAGAGTACATGAAATGACACATACGCACAGAGCGTTCACACGCAAACTTGGTGAAATGAAGAAAGCTGGGCAACACTTGTTGATTGGCATATCTTGCTCATCGCCTCAGTCATGGTTATGGTCTTTGTTTCATGCAGTCGTTGACCTCAGCATCATTGTTGACAACGCTGACAAGACTCCTGATCAAATCTCACGGGAGGAGCGCGCCCCAGGCGCGGCCTGCTGTCCTGAAGCGTAAGCAAGGCGTAGATTATCAATCACAAGGACAGGCTGCGACGCTTGGCGATGCGCAGGGCACCTTGCTCATGGCACAACAAACTGCACATGGTGGTGCAAGAGAAGCTGAAACAAGGACAGAATCCCTCTGGGCATCGCCAGGGGTGGCGCATTGGCCAACATCATTGTGGATGAAAGACCTGTAACACAAAATGATCCCCACTTGGGGACGCCTGCGTCATCGGCAGTGTTTTGGGGCGGCGCGACTTAGTCCACCAAGCCAGCTCTACTTCATCAAATGGACGTCGTTGGCAATGTTCCGTTTGATGAAGAGGAGCTGGCTGGGTGGGCAAAGTGGTACCACCCCGACGCACGGGTGATGACGCCATCGTTGCTGAAGATGCATTGTCGACTGATCAGATGATACTTTGACGTTCTTGCAGTGCGGCAGTTGACGGGGAATAGGCACACGCACGATGCCGGTATTGGGGGATATAATGGGTGGTAAATGTGATCGAAATGTAGGTGGATGCCCGCACAAATCGAAACGCGGATCCGCGTCGAGTCCGGACTCGAATCTGGGAGCGTAACTGGCAGATGAGAAACAGCCGAGGTACCGAATTGCATGTATCAAAAGAATTAAGGATCGCATTGCTCTTATCTCGTCACCAGGCCGGCATCTGGCAAGGTCATCCAATCCATGACTCTGAGGCACCATCAAGCCTCCCAGTTAACAGCTGTCGCTGCAAGCTGACGCAGCTGCAATTTCAACTGGCAGCTGCTGCCGGACGCTGCTGACAGAGGCAATGGCCTGTTCCTGACAAGTATTTCTCCTTATCTGCCCAGGCAACCAACAGTTCTAGGAAGGCTGCCGCTTGTCCCGACAACGCATTTGGTGACACTGAATGTCGCCAAACTTTGAATAGGCACCCTGGCCCCTCAAGCCACACGCGGCCAACCCACGCAACTAAAACAAGGACCACTTGGGGCGGAGCGCCGTGCAAGGTCATTGGGATTGTGGGAGGGTAATAGGAACCCTGCTCAAGCCCTGAACGTTCCAGTGAAAGCAGCACCACGATTTCAGGTTTCACAAGTTCCCCAAGGGAAATCTGCCCGTCCTTCGGTGCAGGGTGGCCCTCATTAGCCGTAGGGCATGGTGGCAGCGCCCTTCGGATGAGGAACGGCGGTGGTCGAATAGAAGCATTGGCAGGCACAAGGTGGTCGCCAGGCAGGGAACGCCACATGACGACGGCGATGGTAGAAGACGGAATTGGGCGGCATCTTCAGTGCTGCGCTCCCAGCGCCCATGGCATTTCAACTGCGCTTTCGAATTGGCTCTGACATCCGCGTTTCAGTTGCAGCTGTGCCCGATGCGGACTCTCCATTGTCATTTGGCAGTGTGTTCTGGCAGAGCTCAAGCAGCGGATACCTCACCCAACGCATGGGATCCGACACTGCAGCCACGTGAAACCATCGACTGGCCGTTCTGTACCAGTGGATGACTCGCGCCACCACGTGCGTGCCTCTCAAGCAATCATGCATCTCTTTAGCTGCCGATGTCAGCACCGTGCACGCTTCGACCTAAAGACCATTGGGCAAAATGGAATGAGGAGAGCAGGGACCACCATCTTCCAACACATTTATTGACTGGCAGGAGCATAACATGAACATGACCCATCCCCAAGTTCTCAATATGCACAATTCCCAGCACTGTCACTGTGCATCAATCCCGAACTTTTAACATAGAATTCTGAGAGGCTAGCTCTGTTGCTTACAACAACTGCTGGGCGAATCAATAATCTGCCACTTGCATTAAAATATCAGAAGATAGGAAGCTCATACAACGCTCTTGGTAAATGGTGGCTTCTCTTTTTGAGACACATTCCACGCCATTCCACCCGCAATGCACTGCTGGCTTAACTAAGAATGCCTACTTCGATATCTCTTTGCATGCACCTCACCTTTTAGCTTTTATGCATCGCAACGCCCAACCATGTGAAAATAAGCTGCAGGTGCGTAAACTCCATCAAGCAGAAGACCCACAAGTGCACATCACACATCCAGAGTGAGCCCGCTTAATAAGCAGGCACCTTGGACACACTTACCGATGTTCGACCACAGGAACAGGATGGACCGCAACCTCAGCGGTTTCAAGCGCCCACTGCCCTTCGGCGTCTTCTTCCTCCTCCTCATCGCCCTCATCAGTGACACAAGGCCGCGAAGGACCTGCATCGTCCCCAACGTCCGCAGCCTCGCAAAAGTCGTCAAAATCGTCATCAAAGTCATCACCCCCATCCAGCGCACCATCCAGCATCACATCCAACGCCTTGTCCAGCACATCGTCCTCCAAGGCATCGCCCAGGCCTGTCGGGTGGCCCTTTGGGATGCCCTGCACCTCTTTCGTGGCAGCAACAAACTCTCTCCTGATCTGTTGGCAGTAGGAGCCCGTGAAGGAGCTCTGCTCTCTACAGGACAAGCAAGGCACAAGAGTTGTGAGCAGGATGGGATACAAGAGACAGAATCCAAATCCAAGCATGTGGCTTCTGCTGGTGAGCCATGCAAGGCGGTTGGGAAACAGGTCATGATTGCCTTTTCAGCAGCAATTCTATCTCTGGACTGCAATGTCACTACTTGAGAGGAACAACACCCTTGCACCTCTCTGGCAAGTGCAAGAATAATCTAGCGAAGTGGTGGATCCGGCCGCTGCGTGGGCATTAGGGCTTTTCTCTTCCAGAATATTACAATGGCTGTGTGAATATCAAATCAATCCCAAATGTCACTGCACCTCAAATATTGCTATAGTAAGATGAAGGAAGTAGCAAACACAATGCCACTGATCTTTGCCAACAACAGAATACAATTACATCCAGACCTTGGCCCCGTACCTACAAGCACAGACAGTTTCGCATTGCTTACTGCTCAAAAACCTTCATGTACAACATCAGCCGTGCAGGCGAGCATGGGAATCGTTCATGGTAGGCGATCATCTGGCCACACATCAATGCTGCACGTAATTTCAGGTTGGGGAAGGGCAGATCGTCTCTTGAGAAGTAGGCAGCCTCAAATGAATCATCTGAACAGCCAAAGGATAGAGACACCCGAGGCTTTGTGTAGCCTGCTCTGCCCCTTGAGCCCCAGTGTATGGCCCTGGAAAACAGAGTGTGCTGCTCATATCCCATGTCGACACCACGCTTTTGTCAACATTGGCACAACTTGGCCTGGAACCTAAAATGATGCGAACATTTTGTGCTGCTGTTTGTAGTACATATATGCTGCATACTGTTCTACAGTAGCAAGAGATTCCCCATATTGTGTGCAGTGTGGCTTTGAGTTTCAATAATATCTTGTGCCCATTGCATGGCATGCCCTCCTCTATCGTTTCAATGTTTGGCATATGCCTGAACAGCTGCGCCTGGAACCACAGTCTGCTTCTGAAAGTGGCAGAGATGGTTAACTGAACATCCAGCTTGCTTGACATAATGCCACATGCAACACAGGATTCACTCTAACTCTGCCAGAAAGCAGTTAAACAAACTGGGAACAAAAAGTCTCCATCTCCGCACCATATAGTTCCCAGACTTCCAGCGGCAGCTGTCACATTGTAAGCCCATGATTAGCGTGACTGGACAAGATATTTGGTGTTGCCAAAGCTACAGGATAATGCGATGCATCATTGGACTTCAGCCGCATTCAGTCCACCACAGGTGGCACAAGGCCCGCATCTACTTTTTGGATGGGGTTGGCACCCGTACACTGAAATGTCAAGTGGTATTTGGCACTGCAGACCAAAATAATGTTCTCCACAATCAAAGAAATGGACACTACTACAGGCGAGGCTTGCCTGTGTGTGAACAAGATCGCGGATCCGGCCTCAGCGGGCAGCGCTCTGATGTCCTGATATGCTTCCTTGGTGGGCAAGCAGGCCGCCAGCGGGTCCCCGTCCGGGTCATCCCCCTCCAAGTACCCCGGATCCGCCCCCCTGGGGATAATGTACAGGCAACTGTTGTCTGGGCACGCATCTGTAAGCGCCACCCAGCACGTCGAGTACATCGGCGTGCCGTCCTCCCTGAAGCTCTCCGCCGGGCGCTCGGGCTGCCGATCCCGATGCGGGGAAAAACCGCACTGCGGCGGGAGCACGCTCCAACCCAACACATCCATGTTGATCTTGTTACCCGTGGCGGCCTCAATTATGGCGGAGATCTCCGATGCCATGAGCCACGCCTCGTCGAAGATGGCCACGAAGGACGGCGGCCAGCCCTGGGCCTGCAGCTGGGCCACGCCGTCGGCCATCGGGCCCACGCCCGACGACCAGGGCAGATCGGCCGCGGAGATCTGCGCGTAGCCGTCCAAGTTGATCCGTTGGCGCAGATTGGCGCAGCCGATCGGATCGGCGGGGAGGGGCGCGGCGGAGGCCTGCAGGGCGGCATCATCGACGTGCAGGCTCGGGCAGACGCGGCGCCAGTAGTTTGGGTCAAGGACGGATTGGGCCGTCTGGGCGTCGGCGTGGAGGGAGGCATCGGGGGCACGGGCGCCCTTGGGGGGCATTGCGTTTGAGGGACAGCGGAAAGGGGCGCAGGCCGGCGCGTGGGAGGCGGCCAGTGCCGGTGGCGAGCACCGCTGGGGGCGAACTGTCCCGTGGCTTTGTTTGACGAACAGCAACCGGCAAGTACTGTACCCTTTTCCCAGTTGAGGGTGATGTATGGGAGTAGTACTTGGAGAAGAGTGCAAAGTTGAAAAGTTCAAAAAGTGAATAAGTAAGGTACGAGGAGTATACCTGGCAAGTTCCGGTTAGGGATTTGGCAAGTGTCAAGTTTCTCGAAGAGGATAACGAGTTAACGTGCAGTTCAACAACATACACAAGAGAGGAAACATTGGAGCGCAGCAGTGACCAAGGGGGCGAGGCATGCACAACTTGCCAAGTTTACACCACTGAGTCAATGGAGGAAATTCAAGAATGAGCTTTTGCGTGCAATTTCGTTAAGTGAAGAACGTCATTGCAGGCCCACGTACCCAAATCAAAAGTCGATTGTTGCTGGTGCATTAACCACAACATTGCTAGTCAGATATTTTGCGCACAAAAAAGCATCCACCCTATAATTGCTGCTTCGCCACAAGCTGAAGGCTTAACTGACTAAATCGTATCGAAATGATATCCGATTTTTCCTCAGCTGGAGTTGTGATGGCACATTGTCGACGTCTAGAAAAAGACGCCGCAGCACATTTCCCATGGAAATTCATCTGCTTTTCCTATGAGAAAGCAAACCAGTTTGCACAAAAAAAAGCGCTATAGCATCTCTCTGCCAGGTTTGGTCTTTACGGCGTAAGTACGTCTTTATTTACGGCCATTTACGTGTAAAAACGTTTTTTACGTTTCTACACATAAATAAGCGTTAAATGGGTAAAAAAGGGCCCTATGTACTTAAAGACAGTACATACCGACTCGAGTCCGGGGAGTTGTAGTTAGACGAGCTGAAGTGTGCAATACACGAGTTATATCTCGACCACGTCGTTACCCTTGCCGAGTGCGAGGTGGACACAGCGTGCTCGAGGGCTTGGAGAATTCATCATTGTTGGGACATCATCAGGTAATCTGGGGGTGCCGGCGGGTTGTGCATATGCGTAAATATGGTCGCAAAATGGCCGCTTCTCTGTAAATAGAATAGACGTAGATTTGCGCGCGGAAAACGTAAACGTAAAAGTGGAGCCGTAAATGTAAAGATCAACCCTGCGAAGCATCAACATGGACCCACCCCCCACCTCCCCCCGGGAAGCCAAGATCCCCCCGACCCAAACTACTAGGAGCTCTGCATGGACGCCTTACGGTGTCTGTGGATCCTGGGATTCGTAGTCCCCCTCTGCGGCTTGGTGGCACGACTGGCGCCTTGACCACCTATGGTTGCTGCGTCGTCGTCTGGAGGAAAGCGTCACATTAGGAAAAAAAGGGCAAAATAACACGTGTTCAAACGTGTGCAAAGTTTTCGGGTTTGTGTTATTTTTGTGTTCTTAGCGTGCAGAACCTTGATGAAATGTGTTTTATGTGTGTTCAAAAAAGTGTTATTCAGTCCTTTTTTTCCTAGTGTCATGGCCTCGATACAGGCCGGATTAACAACGTCGATATTTTCCGCCAGGCATCGCGCTTCCGAGCGGCCGGCCGCGGCGCCGCCGATCACCCTCAGCTGGGAGTTTAGGGGGCCGAAAAGCGTACCTAATGGTGAATTTGTTCAGTGCACTTAATTCTCTGGAAGTGCGTATCTGCTCCAGGTCTCGCCGATTCAGCAAGGAATGTCAAGGAATGCGCCCTTCAGCCACTCTTTTCCACTTCGGGAGCCCAACGCCACTTTGGTGCCTCCTTCCACCGTCTGGAAAATAAACTTATGAATCTATGTGCGCTGTTCTAGTGCCAATAAATTTTGTATGGCTAGCTCGTGGCCTGCCCCCGACTCTAAATTATCCATCAGTTCACCACCAACACGTACAGGCCGTCCCTCAGCATCGAAGCCATTTCATTTGCTTGTTCCTCTGGATTCATGCTCCGAAACTTCCGCTGACCATGCTTATCGTATAGCTGGTGATACATATCAAACGAGATGTGCTACAACGCCCATAGACGCTCACGGTAGCCAAAGTAGAACACATTCTGGACAAAATTCATCACTTGCCACCACTCTTGCAGGTACTCTAGCAGAGTGGATTTTCCAGTGCCGCCCACTCATTGCAACGACAGAACATTCCTCTCCAGAAATGCACACTCGATCTTCAAAATGTCCTAGTCACGCCCGACGAAGCTGTATTACGGTGCTGTGAGATGATAACTGTTGGGCGAATTCCCTCTGGGATAGTCGGCCGCACCTATCAACTGCAAGCCCAGGAGCTGGTTGACGTATACCACTGGCAACAGCCAATCCTTCAGATCAACAGCAACACTGTGGGATTCTGTGCGGCCTTGGTGGCAGTACAGCACTTGTCTACCCAAACACAGGGCTTTCAGGACCAGCTGTTGAACGAAGCGATGTATTTATATGGATTCCATCAATATTTTCGTTGCCGCAACTGTGATGAAATAGCTTAAGGCCAGCGCCACCAGCATTGGGCTGCTCCCAAGACTCGTGCTGTGAGCAGAGAACCTTTAGCTGGGCCGCCCTCCTCAGCACCGTCTGGCGGCACCTGTACACCAGTTTGACACGCTTTAAAAATGCATATGGCAATGCCCTTGTCGTCCAGCAATTGGGCCACTTCTGAGGCTTCCAAAAGCTTTGCTTCCATTCCACCTTCCAGGCGCACGAACGCCTTCCTGAGCTTGTACCTGCGACGCAACAAGTCCTCTCTGCCATGGCGATCTGCCAGAGGTAGCCAGCACGGTACACATCGCGATAGGCCGTCAGCTGCCCATGGCAATCAAAATGAATGATAAAATAGATCCCAGGGCCCCTTGCATCCAGCCGCTCAGACAGCTCTTTGTACGTTCCCGGCCGCAGTAGCTCTATACTGGCCCCCAGCTTGGCTGCTTGTACCAATTCGACTAGGGGTCGCGAAATGGTGCGATAACCTTCATCTCTTTACTTCCATGGCCATGCAACGACCACCAGAACATTGAGGACTCATGAAGGCTTCAATGGGATTGGCCGGAAGACATTCTCCTCAGACCTTCGATGCAAAGGACAGTCCACATCCAGCAGCCGTGGTAGACCTGAATCCCACAGGGCTTCCTATTGCAAGGCTTGAAATTCATACGACCTGGCGAGTACTACTGTTGTTAGCTCGCTCAAGCTTTCCATCACCTGGGTATACTTGTCGTGTGATTTATCACAGGCAAAGCCTCCATGAACAGTGTCGTGCAGTACTCTTTGATGCTGTGAGCTGCCTTCTCCTGATTTGCTCATCTGCTGCACTCGGGTGACACCCTAACGGGCGCTTTGACTTGAAGGACATCCATTCCTGAGGATGGGATCCTTGGGGCGCCCAGGAAAGCACCAGATCACACAGGCAGAAAACAACATTTTAGCTATGCACACCAGGCCTAGGAGATAAGAAGTCTTCCAAGAATAGCAATATTTGCAGTTTACCCCAGTGCACCATGAAAGACAATTATCCTCCGCATGGTCTATCACTTTGCCGCGCCGTTAGCACTACGGGAAAAAGGGGGCATCCGCGCAGTTTTCCGAGCGCCTCGGAATCGCCCCAGCGCGTCCGGGCGCGCTATTGGCAGTGTCCGAGGCAATAAGAAAAGCGTCCGGAGCGGCTGCGCATTATGTAGACATAGACCCGCCCGGACGCGTCGGAGCCGCTCGGAACCGCAAGGATGCCCCCCCTTTCCCGTAGTGTAGGCAGTAAACATTTAGTATTCACGGAATTAATTCCGCAGCCTCCAGAACTCACAAGTCGCAAATCTCTGTGTTTCCTGTGAATACCGAAAGGGAAAGAGAATCTTACATGAAAACCTGTGGCCCAGGAAACTTCGAAGCTTTTTCAGTATAGAGTACACATACATTTTGTGACAGGTGAATTCCTCTCCACTTTAGTATTTCGTCGTTGGCGCTGGCCATCCACCCTACTCGATGCAAAGGCCAAGCAACTGGGACATCTGCAAAATACTGGTCGAGGACGCTCTAGCTGTTCTCCAATCTTGCGCCTTCGCCTTTTCTTTTCCATAGCACCAGTATCCAGACGTCATTGCAGCGCTTCTTTCATGAACGGCCGCACAGAACCTGGCGCTGGCACTAGCAAGAAAAGGACCAAATAGCATTCTTTGCGAACACATGTATGTGCATTTCGTCAGTGTTCCGCATGCTAAAAACACGAAAATAACACAAACCCGTAAACTTGTACACATTTGAACTCGTGTTATTTGGTATCTTTTTCCCAGTGTTGCGCGGCTGCAGCCCTCACGTTCATCCCACCCTCATGTTCGCCCGCCAGCATATCTTGTGTGTCAGCCCTGTCGCAGACGCCTGGAAAATTGCTTCCCCATCTGAGCCATCGACGTTTCGCAAGAACCGAATCTGCCATCAAAATCATGCAATTTGGAAAACTCATGTGCGGTACCAGAAGGCAATATGCATGCCTGAGCAACAGGACAGCATCCGGGCGAATCGGGCTGGCCATGCGTCATAATATTTTCTGTTAATCAAATCCATTTCACTTATTTTCCTGCGACCAGCCGCCGCGGATACCCGTCGGAACTAACCTACAATGGCCCCATGTCCCATGCAACTTTTAGTACAGATGACCACGGCATTCAAATGCAGCGGCCCGCGCACGCAGTTCTCCCAATGCCCCATCGCGAACGAGCGTCGAGCGCAGAGCTCCGCTCAGAGAGGCGGCGACCAGCGGCGGCAGGCGAGCAGCGACCCAACCTTCCCCCCACCAGTAAGTGAAGAGGCCCAAGGACGACCGCCAAGCTGTCCCGCCCCATGGGATGGCCTTGACTTGACTGGAGCGCATTGATTTGCCTGTACTTGCGTCGCGAGATTTTCTGAAGCGACGTGATATTTAATGCAAGGCATTGAAGCCAGCGACTGGCCAGCGTGTCTGCCGTGAGTGCGGGC